CTTATTAACTCTTTGCAGCCAGTTAGGTAATTCACTTCACACTCTTTACTCCAATCGAAGTAAAAATAAAAATAAACTGTTGATTTTCCTCATCAAAAAAGGAAAACAAAAGGTACAAATAATTTTTTTCGTATGTTTCAAGTCATTGGAGGAATCGAAGCTCAGAGGTAGAGAGCTATGGAAAGCAGGAGGGTAAAACAATTCAATTCATATTGGTTTAATTTGATTGATTGATGTTCATAGAAGTCTTTACTTGTACGAGTGAAATTCATTTTGAGAATACCAGGTCTCTTTCCTTTTCAACTGAAAAGGAGATGAATTTTCTGGCTTTGGTTAGTGAAATTACGTGTTCTTAATTTATGTACTATCTGCCCTTCTTACTTTGTGAATACGCACTATTCTTTTTTGACTATGTTTTCTTAAAGTAAGGAACCCATCATGGATGGACAGGCACTAGTTCTATAAGAATGCTACAAAATTATGGTCGGTAGATCATGAGCCAAAATTCAAATACAAGTTGTTGAGATGGGTGTTTGGATTATATTTTTAAAAAATTTAAATTTTAGTTTTAGCTTCAAATTAGTTTTTTTATTGTGTTTTTAAATCATATTAATATGCTAAGATAAAAAAATTAAAAATATATTATTTTAATATATTTTTAAATAAAAATATTTTAAATATCAATCTCTACAACCCTGAATATAAAATTGTGTTTCATGATACTGTATTGCATAATATAAACAGTTTTTTTTTGTTTTTTTTTCAAATAAAATTCTCTATTTTTACTTTATTTAACTTTGAAAGTGAATATTTAGCTTGAAAAAATACAATATTTGGACCTAATTATTATATAAACCTAATTCATTGTCTAAGGTTGTGGACCAAATAAATAAAATTATTTTATTTTATCAATATCATTGTGCCATTAAATGTGATTTATAGAAATTTTATTGAACATAGTAGGTGAACTAGTTTCGCTTAATAATTTCTCTACAAGAAAGGTTATTTTCTATGCAAATATTTGAATAAATAATCTTCTTCTCTCCCCATTTTTTTTAGTAGGTTCCCAAAACCACTCCATTTCAACATGTATATATGTTTTTGTGGTTCAACATGATCACCTCCAACGTAGACATTAACATGAAGCAATTATTGAAAACTGACAAATGTTTGCTCATTATACATGTTGAGTATCGTATATGGATTTGGCGAAAGCCATGGTTACTCTCATTGTCAATGAAAACACCTTTCCTTTATGTCAATTCTTTCTAGGTAGCTAGCTAGCTATAATCTTCCTGAATTATTCTCGAATTGATAGAAAACAAAAGATAATGTTATACAAGATATCAAGGATGAGAAAGAAAACAATTGGCATAAAACGCAGAGGAATTTATTTAAGGTTTTTAAAAAATAAATAAATAAAGAAGAAGAAGAAAAGAATTCCATTTTGTTGAAAAGCAAATGGAGACTTTTCTGTCTCTGTTACCATTCATCTAAATTCTCCTCTCCTTTCTTCTTCCACTCCTCTCTCTGAAGCTCTATGAGCAAACCACCTGATTTTAAAACCAGCTTTATTGATTGTTTTATGCGCTTATGTAGATGGATCCAAAGAAAACAGTATGATCTAATTAGATGCATAATAGACATCTGACATCAACTGATTTTAAGCACCATCTTATGCCTACCATGCATCTTAATTAGAGTTCATAAAGGGAAAGCAATAGGATCATTAGCAAGCTGGTAGGAAATTATGGGTACGGGTTTATGTACTCAAAGAAAGCAATAATGATGCATAAAAGTTCAAGAATAAGAAGAAAATATACAGTGATTAAACTGTGTACTAAGTTTCCTGAGGTCCCATTTGCTAGCTCAACAATCATGGCAAACAATATTCTGATTCAAGTTATGTGGCAGTATTTTGAGTTCTTTTGAGGGAAATCTCTGCCAAATTATGTCATTCTCTATGTTAAATTGATGAAAAGAATTTAATTGAAAGCAAATGCTGGAGGATTAATGATGACTGAACAAAAAGTTGTCAATAGAGACCAATAAAACAATAGTGAAGCATGTAACATATTGCACTTATTTATAGTGGCCATGAAAAACTTTTAATAGTTGAATTATTTTTTCTTTAGATACCAGTAAGTTTCCGCACATCAAATCATGGGTAATTAATACTTTAAAATTTGGTTTTAGACATGAATATGGGTCATCTTATCACTTAATCGTGGATCTGATACAGTTGGTTATATAAATAATTTTATAAAAATATTTATAAATAGATGCATGATTAAGTTTAAGACGGAGATTTGAATTTTGCAGAATAATAAATTTAATGAAATAACTTGTAACTTTGTATATAACTATTAGATCATATTTAAATTTTATCAAGTCCAATTATATAATAATTCAACTAGCAGTTGGTTAATATGGATGATTTTCAAATTAGAGAAGGTGTTGCTATAATTTTTAAAAAAACTTTTAATTTGTTTAAACTCTTTGTTGTTTTTCTTTTATTCTAGAGATTCCAAGTGTGTAGATTGGTGTTTAGATTATTTTAAGGAGTTGCCAACTACTCATATCTAGACCTGTGTATCCATAAAAAAATTAAGAAAATTCTTCAGATGATTCCTTAAATTCTAACCTAAGATGATAACAGGGAGAAAATAACTCAATACAATACCCTAATTTATGTCTTAAGAATTTTTTTTCCAAACGTTAATGATAGCATGCTGCTTTCTAGCGATCGAGACCCCAACGCTGATGGAACAGCGGACAAGAAAAATGAAGATAACTGAAAAGGCATATCCATTGAAAGAAAGCCAAAATGGGGGGACAATATTGCAGTAAGCACTCCAATCATGTTGAAGAGCACATATTATTTTCCAAAAGCCCCATAAATATTGATTGGGACACACGAACGAACGTTTTCCTGATGGATGTGGAAGTGCAAATCCTTCATTGCTAGCCCAGTCAGCATCACAATAATGCAGAACTACTTTGTTTTAGAGCAATATGGAAACAAAACTATCATGCAGCCCCTTTAGAAAACAGTGATTAGATTTTCTTTCATGGAAGATAACCCACCAATTCTCAGTTAAATTTCACTTCAATTTCTTGTGTAGCCGAAGCCCATGATGCAGTTTGAAGCACGAAAAAATATGCACCAAGCTAGGGTCTTGCATCCCATGTTTATCAGGAACAATAACACTTTGGATCAGTCCATAATTCCAAGTCAAGACCATCGGCACAAGAGTCCAGTTGCCTGTCTCAGTTGCATCCAACCCAACATTTTCAAGGGCTAGGGCCTTGGAATGATGAACCAGGTGATTGATGATGCAAACTCTCATGTGCACAGGAATTGAGAATTAATTTGAATAATCAAGGAGATGCTTGCATATATACGCGGCGTGTTTCACGATTTATTAATTTGAATAATCAAAGAGATGCTAGCATATATACACGGCGTGTTTCACGATTTATTAATTTGAATAATCAAGGAGATTCTAGCATATATGCTATGGAAAGACAACCAATGATTTAGCCATGGCTTCAGTACCTATGCTTGTTTACATTCAAGTGCTATGTTGCAAGTGAGATTTTTTTTTAATCTCTTTTTAAATGTAACAAAAAATATTTATGCTATCGAGAGAATTATTTATTATTATTATATCTTATATAATACATTAATTTTAAAATTTATTGACTTATTTTATTATCTAATTTAAATTTAAAATTAAATTATAAAAGAGTTGCTTTAACATAACACACTCTATTTTATTGATTTAAAAACAACCTGACTAAATAGTAAAAAATTCTGAGAATAAAGTTGAGGAAAGAATAATGAAATTAACATAAAAGTATATTTTAATTCAATTCATTGTCTAACCAAAATCTAAAATTAAACAATATTAAAATTATTTTAATATGAACCAATCAACTTGTTCACTCTTAAAGCAACCCAGAAAATTATTATAAAAATTTTAAGAAAAGCCAATCAACTTGTTCACTCTTAAAGCAACCTGGAAAATTAATATAAAAAATTAAAAAAATCAAATTGAAAAGAAAAAAAAAGCCTCCCAACTTAATTTATTATTTGGTTTAGGTGTAAAATTAAATAGGATAAAAAATAATTTAATATAATTAAGTAAACTTAACCGGTTAGTAAAAAAACAACAACAACAACACAACCAAATCCTATTAGGTTAAAAAAAAAAACAACAACAACAACACAACCAATCCTATTGGGCAAAGTAAAAGTTGGTCATGGAATCCTACTCTAAAAAACTCAAAAGTCAATTTTTCATCAGAAGCACATTAGTATTTTAATTTTTTTAAATAAAAAATATTATATATAAATAGAAAGTTCCAATTTTTCTTTTTGAAACTTTAGTTTTTGAAATATTAGAATATTACTCTGTTTTGTAACAAAAAAAGGAAAGAAAGAATATTACTCTGTTTCTAACTATTTCTAAGATTTTCAATTATCCATATTTTTATATTTTGGTTCTAACCACAACGGTAGCCATAAAAACTAGAGCTAACGTCACAGACTCACAGCCAAAACCCCAGCAAACTATCTAAGCTAAACGTAAAATCTTTACCTTTTGAATGTCAAAAGAGATGAGCTCCGATGAATTAGCACGGTGAAAGAAGCAAGGAAAATAGTGATTTACAGCTTTTGACAAGGGTCTCTGCACTGACCTAAGTAGAAATGATTTACTCCTGTTGTAAACCTTCGCAAGATTGTCAACACCGTCTTCTTCCGGTGTTGAGTATGAAGAATAGAAAGGACGAATATTTTCTTTGAAGAAAGAATCACAGAATAGAGTTCCCAGTCCTCATTCTCTTAGGATTAGGAGCCAAGTAAAGAGCCCATTATCCATGCCTTTTTGTTGTTCGTATTCTCATGAGCTGGAAAAACGGTGTTCGTCATCAATTTAGATGCTTCGTCTTTTCATTCCAGCATATTTTTCTGGAGAGTAGAAAGTGGGAACTTACTTGACTACCCTGTTTTATTGCATAAGGCAATGCATGGGTCTATAAATATAACCAGCTGATAAATCTCCATAAAGGATCTTTGCGTGCTCGAGACATCAGTTGCTCAGGGAGACAGAAACAGACTCGAGCTTCCTTTGTTTTTGTTCCAAAATGCGTCTCACGGAGAGTCAAGATAAAAGACCTCCATCAGGTTTTGCCATCTCTATTTCTAGATTTCCTTTCATTAGAAACTCTTGAAAACTAAATTCTCTTTCTTGTTCATAGGATACCCAACTGAAACTCCCACCTCCGGGAAGAAATGCTGCCCTCGCAAAAAAAAGCAGAGACAAAGCTTCATCAAGAGACTGTAAGTAAAGCAAGCTGATCTAGGAAGTCAAGTATTCATCAATTTGCTTTTGTATAAGCAACATTGCAAAAAATATAGATGCTTAATCGATTCTGACAATGCCTTAAACGAGAGTCAATTATTCTCTACTCCCTAAGTTTTCAGCGTAGTTCTTCGTATTTTAAAAACTTGCAGCTCAGTTTCTTGACTCGTGTTGAGCTCTATCTTGTTAAAACATCTTTTGGTTGGTTCTTAATCCCAAATGCACCGTTTGACGATTTAAATTATTAGATAAAAACCCGCACCAGAAGTTTTTATAGAAAAAACAACTTGCTTTTCATAAAGATAGCGTCAACGAAAGTCAAACGACTAATTATGTTATAGATTTTCAAATATCTTTGAAATATAGAGGACTAAGTTACAACGGTGTTCATAACTTGTGGATTAAAGAATAATGTATTTTTAAACTATTAGCAAATACTAAAAAGTGTGGGTTTTCACTGTAAACCAAGATACAAAACATTGTGAATGGCGATTTTTTTTTTTCAATTTAAGCTTTATAGAACAAAATTAATGGCCAATTGTCTACCATTTATTGTTACATGGTATAATTTTTTTATATATATAAAAAAAGAACCAAAGTATCAAACACGATAAAATAACATGGTTGAATTAGAGTTTTCATGAAGAAAATTATTTTTTGTCTACTCCTTTTCTCATTCTTCTATAATAGTCCCTTTAATTTTTCAAAGTTTTGTTTTGGTCAAAAACTTTAATTTTTTTATTTTTAATTCCTGATTTGAAAGAGAAAATAGAGTTTTTAGAAAATAACAAATAAGAAATAAAGTTGACAATTGATCATAATATAACCACAATAAATATCATTTTTGGTATTACTAAATTACATCCAATGAGAGAAGTTCCATCACGGTGTTTTTCCCTTTAAATTGCTGAAAATGAAGATCAAGCTTGAGAGGATTTTGTTTAAAATTTGATTTTATGTTTTTGGATGAATTCCGAAGAGTTTTAAATTGGTTTATTAATATTATACGGATGTTTTCATGTGTTAATAACTTAAAATATGTTGAAATTGGGTTATAGGGTTCAAAATATCTATTCCATTTTTTTAGTCACATCTCCGGTAGTCGAAAACAAGGTGTCCAGAAGACACATTGTTTATCTTAATATCATCCACCCATTTTATTTTGATAAAAATAAATAAATAAAATGTAAGCCAATGAACGTGGCCTTTTGGTTTTGACGAGACAGACGAGCTGGGCCACTAAACCTAAGCGCCTGGCCTTTTTACAATTCTTTTTTTAATTTATTGATTAAATACATGTGTTAGATGTCCGACTAGCAGGTATTTAGGTGTTTAGTTTTAATTGAGATTAATTAAAATGAACAAATTTGATTATTTTGATAAGATATGGTTTAGTTTTTACTTCGTTTATATATATATATATATATATAAGTTAATATTCTTTATATGTAACCCTGTATTGTAATTATTTTTCTAATTAGTTTTGATCAAATGCTCTCTTCTACATGTATATTTTTATTAATATTTAATTAAATAAAAAATTAATTAATAAAATAATTTTTTATTAAC